CATCGATAGTGACTCGCCAGAAGCTCCGGGAGCTTGGTTGGGAGGTTCTTATGCATCCACCTTATAGTCCGGACCTGGCACCAAGTGATTACCACCTGTTCCTGTCTATGGCGAATGATTTTGCTGGTGAAAAATTCGCCTCAAGAGAAGCTTGTGAAAATCGATTGTCCCAGTTTTTTGCCAATAGGGACGAGGGTTTCTATGAGAGAGGCATAATGAAATTACCTCCAAAATGGCAACAAGTTATCGAACAAAACGGTGCATATTTGACCTAAATCGGATCATTCTAACTATACTAAATAAAGCCTTCAATTTAATGCAAAAATAATAGATTTCTTTTTACTACACCTTATAGTTTGTGATTTGTGATCAGGGTGAGCGTTCTTATTTTCGGGATAATTAATTATAATCTTAAGGTTTTTGATAAATTAGTTTTTCATATTCTCTACTTCGATATTTCCATTATTTCCATATTTTTGTTCATTTTTCCTTTTCTTTTTTTTTTTTTACTCTTTTTGGGTTTAATTTTGGTATTAAAATTCTCGAGGTAGGGAAATTCACCATGATAGGATAATTTTTTATTCACAGTTTATTTATGTTAGTTTGTGTTGTCTCTGAGGAGGGCTAAAAAATGAGCCGAAACATGTAAGCGCGTTTTAGTGAATAAAGAAGTTTCACACTTCATAGATATTGTAAGGCAGCAACACGATCACGTGTATAACTTCCGAAATAGTAACGTTTCGAAAGGGAATGGAATGTTGTCAGGATTAATTCGAAAGAGGGATAATCTAGAAAACTCCTTGGAAAGAAAGGGCGTATAATTCTCAAGTCATGATATACGTTATTCACTATATGAGACACACACTTTATTCGAAGTCTGGTATATCGGACTATATCGTGTACAAAGGAATCGCTTAGGATCTCGCTCCTTCTCCTCACTATCGCAATTCAACCAATCCCGAAAGGGTATTGTCGATGGACCAATCGCAAGGCACGGCCAATCATGTGCGGTAATGGCGGGTGATCGCCGTCAGCGATGAGGCGCAAAAACTAAACTTATAATTTATGACTGAAGGAGCTATCTTACAATATATTATTTGCGCGATATCTTCTGCGCGACTCCCACTACCCATATCCTTTCCAGTTCTTAAATCATTAATGTTATTTTGTGAGATTGCATGCCTATTATCGGCCTAATACGGCCTATTGAGTTGAAACTCAATTTAGAACATGTTTGACTATTATAAAATGTATTTGAGCTATTATAAAATGTAGCAACAACTGTGCTATTCATACAGACAATTTCGATGATCATATCAATCAAAAGACAAAGAATTGAATATTCTTTGTAAGTATTCTAGCTTGACTCCTTGGCTTACAGATCTTCTCGAATATCGTCTTTTGTCTTTGCGACATAACCCAGCCAAGTGTAGAATGTGTCGGAGAATGGGTTTAGTCTCACTTTAGCATATCGCTATGAAAACCTCTTGTGGTAATGCGTTTACTTAAAAAATGTAATAAAAATCTATAAAGCAATTGTTTTTTATTTAGTTCAATTCGTGAAACTTATAGGGAAAAGAAACTTATCTGAAATGCCATGTTAACCTCCTGGCGGCTTGCTGAATAATATATATTTACGCTTTCTCGCACTTCACACCAAAATCCGTATATCCTATTGTCACCGGTTTTTTCCACAGAGATATGTGTGTGGAATAAAAATACTAAAGTTATTTAAAATTTCCAAAAATTCAAGTTATTTCGTCTTTTCGTCAAATTTAGTTGTACATGGACGTAAGGTTTAGTCGTATCGTTAATCGCACGGACTGTAAGCATTAATGTAGAAAGGTAGTCACTTCTAAATTTCTAAAAATTTCCGAGGAAAAGAATCGAAGTCCTTGGATAGTATATATTTCATATATGAGTATATATATTTATGATTATTTATACATCTTTATGTATATTTGTAGATATATATTTTATATTCATACATAAAAAATGTTTTACTCGGATTAATATCGTATATAAGTTTTGTAACCTTGAACATCAAGATTCCTTAAAAAGCAGCAATGTAATATTTATTCCATATGTCCATTAGAATTATGTTCTTTTATCTAGACTGTTTACAATCGTATGCATGAACTGCATAAAATCCGTTCCGTTTCTCTATGCGCTGCATGTGCATGGGGAAAAAAAGCCGTTAATGCGCGCATAGAATGCGTTGCGTTCCATGCATGAAACGGAACACACCTATAGTCTCGGGTTAGTTCGAAACCGGAGGGCCAGCCGAACTTCTCTAAGACGTAACACAGAGTAGATTTGTTCGCGTTGTTCGCACTTTTTGCACTGACATCTTCGCTTTCTCTCTTTTCAAAGCTAAATTGTAGCGGATTGCTACATATAAAGAATGTATGTCGGTAAAGGACGAAACTCACTAAGGAAGATATACTCAGATTCGAAGCTATTTGGTCGGCCGTAGCGTTTCGTCTCGGTCCCACACTACTTGACTCATCAGTAAGGCGATGTGGATACTTGCCTTAGACACTCTGGAATCAGTTTAGGTGGCTATGCTATTTAAAGCAAGTTCGCGTGACTGAGATACTTTCGCGAATCCGAGCGAGTTTCGTCTTGGACCTCTGGTGGCGGTCGCCACAAAATATATATCTATCTCATTTTAAATACAAAAATATTTGGATTTCATGCAATGCGAACAGATCAAATAATTGAAAAGTTTTGATTTGTCGCGTTATTCTGTTTCGCTGCAAATTTCGCTCCACGGGACGTCAGCCTAAGGTTTTCATTTGACGCTACGATGCTCATTTCAGCGTCAAAAGGTCACGTGATCAAAATTGACGCTTAAAAGTGCTTTTTATGGGCGTCAGTTGACGCACGCTAAGACAATTTTATGACGTTATGTTTCAGCGTTAACGCTTAGAAGTTCAGATTTTTCAACTTCTAAGCGTCGCGCGCAAAAGAACTGTTTTTTTAAAAGAAGCGAAATATATTCATTAAATATACTTACAATTAAAGTAAATTAGTCAATTATGTATTACAGTAAAATTATTTATATATCTTCAATATACATTAGATGTATTGAAAAAATAAATTTAATTTCAGCAAATTTTAAATACTTGTAGAGTTTGCGAAACTATCGTGAATGAAGCTGAGATAATTAATTAAAATTACGTAGCAGAGTATTCCAAATATTTTTGTAGATAGTAATTCAAGATATTTTTGTCCACAATGTGGTAAGGGTTATTCAATTAAAAGTATTGATTTTATAAACTTTTTGATTTTAAGGTTAAAATTATATATTAAATAAAATTTCTTAAATAGAATTTCTTAATTTTATTATCAGTTCAGTTGGTTAATTCGACGTATTTTACTTTTGATAACCAATATTATAGACAGACATTTGATACCCCTATGGGTTCACCGTTATCACCGCGATTGTAGCTAACTTTTATAGTTATGGAAGACTTGGAGAATGAGGTGCTTGGGAGAGTTATAATTTATTACTACCTTTTTATTTCCGATATGACGTGGTCACAGCTGTACCGATTACTTTGGTTGATACATTACTTGAATATTTTAACGCCTATCATTATAGACTACAATTTACAATTAAAGTTGGTAACAAAAAAAAAACTTTTTAGACACGACGATCATTATAGACAAAGGGATCACTTTCCATTGATATCATAAAAATACATATTCGGATAGATATCTAAATTATCTCTCCCAGCATCCATTATGCCAAAAAAGAGGAACATAATAAGTTTGGTAGCTTGGCAGGGCCTTTCTGCTATTGCACCCTAAGAGTTTAAATTTTATTAGAAAATGACTATCCCATTAATTTTATTTTTGATACTATAAATGATCGATTAAAATGTCTAATAAATAAAAAGTCTTTACGACAGAAAAATAATAATAAAAAATCAAAAATTGGTTCATCATACTATACATAAAAAACATTTCTGATAAATTTAGAGGATTTATCAACAACATAAGTACGAAATTATCGTTTTTCAGTCTTAATAAGTTAAATAAATTTATTAGAACACATAAGTCAGACTTCCAGATTCATCAAAGAGAAACGTGATTTACCATATAAATGATTGTAATGCGTCATATGTAGGCCAAACGGATAGAAAACTACAAACAAGAGAATATCAGAACATTATAATTATATAAGAAGAAATACATCATTACAATCAGTTATAACAGAACATAGGACACGTACAATCATTTCCGATAGAATGAGATGGAAATATTGGACTCTGAAAAAATTTTTAATAAATAATTATATCGGAGATGTTGCACATCAGACAACATCAGAATGGTTTAAATTCACAGACAGGCAAAAAAAAGTTAGACTCTGCGTATTTTACATTTTTCAATAACGATTAAATGTTTTGTTTTTTTAACTTTATACTTTGACTTTAATGAGTGACATTATAGTTCAAATAAGCAGTTATGAACAAAGATTCACAGTCTCCACTTGGAAACCGTTGTATCAAGACATATATTGCACGGATATTCTCGAAAGTTATCGTTATTTTATTAGTATGACTCTGTCTATTAAAAATTTTTTTGTTATCTGTATATTTATTTATGTAATGGAGTGCGGCGCTTATGGTGAGTGTAGGAGGAATAATTTTAAGAAATAATATGATAATTGTATGTGCGTTAAGTGTTAGCATGAAAAAGTACCTTAAAGCTGCTTTTTTATGCTGACATTTCACGCTCATTTTCAGCGTCAAAACAGATCACGTGATCAAAATTGATGCTTAGTATTTGTCAATTTTGATCACGCGACCTGTTTTGATGCTCAAATCGAGCGTCGAGTATCAGCATGAAAATGCAGCCTAATATTCGTCAATTTTGATCACATGGTCTGTTTTGACGCTGAAAATGAGCATCAGTGCGTCAAGTGAAAACCCAGCCTAATGGCTACTAATCGCCGACTGGTGGCGTTGATCTCGATGTTGTAAACTATCCCTGAAATGGCATTCTTGTCGGAGTGTATCGGAGTTAGCGACCTCTGTTTTTTCGATTTTTCGTGGTCTATTGTCTTTCGTATTCCGGAAAATCATGGTAAGTGAATGGTGATTGAACAATAATTTGTAAAATCGTATAAATAGCCGTCGGATGGATTTTCCACGGATTTCACTCTTCTCGTATGATTATGCTTACAATTTTTAACATCACGGTCACTTTTGTCTTGCAAATTTTCTTGCGACTTAACCTCGTCGACTGAATGTTCGTCAACCGCATGGTGCATCTTCACATGGGGTTCTAGACGTATCTTGTATTTTCATAGTGGTGCGATCTGGTCAATATCATTTGTTCGCGCAATAAATTTTTAAATCACGCTTGCAGAGTTTAAAAAAAAACGCATTGGACGACTTCTATCAGCGTTATTGACTCAGTTATTTTATTAAGTATAATATGAATAAAATTATTAAATTTTTAAAAGAATTATGTTTAATTATAAAAAAAAAGATTAAGAACACACGATTTATATATTAGAATTTTTGTCTTAGGTAATTCTGCCAATTGACTATTGATTACGAGTTAATCAGAGTTTAGTTGAAGTCGATAGTTTGTTTCTACTAATGTAGATTAACTTAATTGGTTTAAGTTACTCTTTATGTGTTACTGATTCTTATAACTAGAAAAAAAAATAAGTCAAATTGTGATGCTATTGATGCTGTTAAAGCTGATTTACATTGGTAAAAATTTTATGTAAATGTAAGAGGAATTAAGTGCTGAATCAGGATAGCGATCATGTAACTTTTTTGCTAGAGTGGAAACGTGAAAAGTGAAAATTTTTATGTATGTATGTCGTACATATACACACATACATACAAAGAATTTTCACTTTTTCGCCCTAGGGAAAAAAATTACATTATCGCTATCCTGAAAACATCTGTGTATGAAAGAGAAAGTTATAAAGTACCAATTGATTGTAATGCGCATGTGCCACTCAGCCTGTTTTCTTTCTTGTTTTATTTTATTATTGAGTCTATTCTGCAATGTGCTTTTTGTTTCGTGTTTCTCGCTTTTTACCTTTTGCTTTTTTTCTCCTTTACAACTGTTTTATTGACAATTGTATTTCTTACTACATATTTCTTGTTTCTTTTGAAGTTCGTTAATTTTTATCTCGAGCGACATAAAACAAAAAACCGGATAAGCAAAAAGGCAAGATGTAAAAAATAATAAAAAGCAAGAAACAGAAAACAAAAAGCACACTGTAGAACAACCATAAAGGTTATTCTACAATGTGCTTTTTGTTTCCTGTTTCTTACTTTTTACTATTTTCTTGCTCTCTACTAGTTTCTTGTTTCTTTGCTTCTTATCTGTTTTTTTGTTTTATGTCGCCTAAGATAAAAGTTAACGAACTTTGAAAGAAACAGGAAACTCGTAGCAAGAAATACAATTGTCCATAAAACGATTGCAAAGGAGGAAAAAGTAAGAGGTAAAAAACAAGAAACAAAGAGCACATTATAGAATGGGCTTTAATGTTTGAGAAACAAAAACAATTGAGGCATATTTTTGTTATACCAGAGGCAATCGCGGCTAAGGCTATCTTTGTCTTCTGATCCCTAAAAACGAAGATAGCCTTAACCACAGTTGCTTCTGATATAATTAGATAATGAAAATACGTCTCTACAACTCACATAGGCTGTGGTCAAAGTCTCACTACAAATGCTTTGAAGTGTTTGGTTTGACCAATTAGAAAAAAGAATTTTACAAATTGACCAATCAAAAATTGCTTTAAAGCATTTGTATCATCGCGTTAACCGTACCCATAGACAATGGTTTGTACATGCATCTTGCAAACATTTGGGATTTTTATACTTTCTCTCTCGCAATTTGACACTTAGGTAAAGTTATCGTAAAATGGTAATTTATTGGTAATTTTGATAAAATTTAATTTTTATAGTTTTACGTACAAATAAATTTTATTTTTTATATTTACATTAATGCATAATACGAGGGGTGTTCAAAAAGTAAGTTTCCCTGCTCCGGGAAAAAAGCAAAACACAATTTTTAGGTTAAAGTAACATATGTATTTATTGTTTGACTTATAAACTATTTTTCTACATAGTCCCCTTGGACTTGAATACATTTTTTATATCTGTTCTGAAGCTTTGACAAACCTTGTTTATAAAAATCCGTGCCCTGTTTTTTAAAGAATAATTTAACAAAGTCTTTCACTTCATCATTTGAATTGAAGTGATGGCCACCCAAACTTTCCTTTAACTTAGGAAAAAGAAAAAAGTCACTTGGTGCGAGATCTGGAGAGTAGGGTGGGTGATCAAAAATTTCCCATTTGAATTTTTCCAGTAAGGTTTGTGTTTTTTTTGCTGAATGAGGCCGTGCATTGTCGTGAAAAAGCAACACTTT